GGATGGAACTTGAACATCTTGCAGTTCCCACCAAGGTGAGTTTGTGGTCATGCTGTTGTAGACAGAGGAGCAATGTGCATTGCCAGGGTATGCAAGGTAGTTGACTTTAGGCCACCTTAATTTGCTGAGTGGTGTTGTCTGTTATCTGATAAATTGTATGCAGACTTCTTCTCTACGGAGAAGCAATTATGTTTGTAATTGCTCATATATAGCGGCGATAGTAATATTAATAAGCCTGGCAGGGGGCATAACTGGGCTCCCTTTCTATTTATCTCTGCTTAGTGCAAGCAGAAAAATGTAAATTGCTGGGGCTTTATCTCATGTCTGCTAGTGAGTACACATAGATTTATTTGATTGGTTTTTTAAATACCTGCCCTCTGAAGAGGAAGGTAATTGAAAGAGCAGTGAAGGGCCAGTCATTTTCAGTGATGTTTCCAGCCTGATGCCAAAGAAATGTTTGTCAAAATTGTTTGTTTGTTTTTTTTGTTTTGTTTTTTTTGTTTGTTTGTTTTTTAATAGGTGGAGTTTGCCTTTCTGTGGGTGAGAGGGACAAATGTTCTAAGATAGAGCTGCACGGAAAATTTTAGATTTGCAATTGTAGATTTGAAGAGGAGTCTAGGGAGCCTGAAGTAATAGCTTGGAGGTTTGAGTAACTCTGCTCCTCCTGGTGGGGGCTGACTTCCACGCCGGGGGTAGCTGACGTAGTAAGGTAGTGCAGACCTTTAATCGTCTATGCTGACGTCAGGAAGGAAAGGGGAGCTGCCACCTTGCAAAAGAAGAGTTGAACTTCCTGCAGCTTGGTTCTAGCAAGTATTTTGCAGGGGTTATCTATAACTGGAAAGAAATGAATAATCTTTTCCCTTAATACCAGTGAAATGTTAATTTAAGGAGGTAGGCAGTTGTTACTGGCTAGGGAAGGAGCTGTCAGTGGCTGTGTAAATGTGCAGCTGCCGTACACAAAGTGACTGATCTCTCCTCTCTGCCCTGCCTGCCCAGCATTCATCTTTGCATCACGCAGTTGCACACGAAGCCTGGTGTGGCTGAGCAGTTCCTGAAAGATGTCAAAGACAGCATTGAGGACATAATGAAGAATCTCAACGCCAAGACCACGGGCATGGTAAGGATCCAGAGTGATGTGTGTGTGCAGTGTGAGCTTGTTTCTTGAATGACGTTAATGATCCCATGTAATGACCTCTTCTCTGCTTAGGGAGCCATCTATGGAATGGCCCAGTCCATCCCAGACAGGAGCTTGGTAGCAGAGATTTCCCTGGCATACTTGGATGGCCTGTACAGCACGGATGTTCCTGGCAGTGAAAAGCACATGAACGGCTCTCCCGGCCACAACTGACTGTAGCACAACAACTGGTGCCTTGCCAGCTAGCACTGGGGTGGTTCTAAATGTTTCCTAAGGAAGGAGATTGCAGTAAGCCTTTGTTCTTAAAGTTGCAGGTCTGATGGCAGCTTGATATCAAACTTTGTTCCTCATCTTTGTCTGCTCTGAAATCTGCATTATTTTCATACCCAGCTTTAGTCCTAAGGCTTTTCTTCTCCTCCCCCTGTATATTTTCATCATGATTACTGATGATGAACTGAATGTCCATTCCACATCTCCAGATTCCTCAGGTATTCTGTATGTCTCTTTGTTCCTTGCTGTTTCTTCTCCTCAGACCGTGTGTTCAGCTGGTGTCCAGCCAAGCCAAGCATTAGATTTGAATTCTCACGTTATGTTCCAAAGCTTCGCTCTTCCCAGGAGTTGAAGGTAGAAAATAAATAGAAAATTCTGTTTTCTTTTGAGTATTCCTCCCAGCTACTGCATTTAACAAACTGTACTGGAAGCCTTATATATCTATGTAACGCAAAGGAAGGATGGTCACATTACTCTTTAAAATCCCCTCTGGAGACCTGACTGCAGTCATTATCCATTGAGGAATGGGGAGGGGAGGACAACACACAATCCTTTTCTGGAATCTCTTCATCTGATTAACAGCAAAAATAGAAACCCAGTGGGTGGTATACAGAGAGGAACTGAATGGTACTGAAAACCTTAGGTACGTAGTATCTGTTTTACTTCCCTGCCTCTTCTAGAAGACATGCGTTTACCGCCTAGAGTGCTGTTGCACCTTGCACAGTTCTGGAGGGATGTGCAAAACAGTGATTTCGCTGTTGAAACTTGAAGGTTTTGCACTATCCCACGATGCTGTAGTTGAGTTGGTCAAGCCCTGGCATTGATGATAGCTGGGGACTTAATGTGCAAATGTATGGCACCAAAGCTGACCTTTTTTTAAACCATAATCCTTTAGTATAACAAGGTGACTTTTGTAATAGGAATTAGTAATTTCTCTGCTCTTTGCACTGATTCTTTTAAGGCACATTCTCAAAAGGGCATTCACCATTGTGCCTTGATGCTTCTCTGGCTTTTTATGGGATGCCAGGGAGGGTTGGAGGGGTCAGCTGTTGACTGCAAGGTTAGCTGCAGCCATTTCCTTATGGTACTATATTGAAAACAAAACCTCAAAGGCAGACTGGCCTCAGGTAAACTATGCTTGCCCATAAGACAAAATAGTAGTGCTATTGAGCCAAGTCCCTTCACAGTATTACAAGGATGCTGGCATAGTTCTGAAAGGTAGAAGATAGGATGCAGTAAGTTGGAGGTAACAGAGCTTTGGGCATATGTCTCACCCTTCCTGTTTTTTCTCCACTGTTTTTACTGGAACAGAGCAGTGTGAGGTAGTTGTTGCCTTAAGGATGAGCTAGATTCTCTCGAGTTGTTAAACAGGGCTGGAGGGCTTTCCCATGTGTCTGCTCTCAGCTTTCTGCAAGTTACATAGAGTTTCCCAGGCATGGTTCATCATTTGGGAGAACACTGTGCCATGGCTACAGCATCTGAAAGCATCTCTGCCACAGGGGGCTGCTTGGCCCTAACCTGACTCTCACAGGTTTGACAAGCCCAAGCACGCACTTGCACAATAATTAAGCAGAATGAGAAGGCTTCTTAACAGCCACCGCACACTCGAGTGTAGCCTTTTGCCCAGTGGGGAAGAATAACTTGCTTTTTAACAGGTTTATTCTCAGTGCTAGGAGATGAAGTATTTTGGCCATCGCCTGTCATTGATGACTGTGCATGACTCTGAGCTGTTCTGGAAACATCACATTTGAATTGTCTGTTGGTGGTGTTACCAGCTCTGGCTTTTATGTTGGACCTCCTTATTCTGTTAACATCTTACTAATGTGATCATTACTGCATCTCTGAGTTTGCTGTACTGTGGAGAGAGTCTGAAGTGTCTGGCTACTGTGATGGTTCTCTTTGAACCAACATTTGGAAAACATAAAAAGGGAGCTAGTCTTTTTGTTCCTGCGTTCAAAGATAATGGGGAAGGAACAGAGTGGGGTGAAGGGGAGGAACTCCTTCCTCTTCCCTGCTTGCCTTCCCCCCAAAGAAGGTTGATGGATCTGATGGATCAGTGCTCCCTTTCATATTTTCCTGTGTATTTCAAGATGTTATTTGTAAATCACTGTACTCTATTCTGGATTCACCTACTAGTAATATTTGTGGGTTTGATTGTTTAATATGTGTTTGTTCTATATTGTAAATGTAATTTTGTGGTCAAGAACAGGCCACTATAATTTACTGCTGTGTAGTCTTTATTCATCCTTGTTATCTAACATGTAATCTGCATCTCCTTTGTCATGCCAAATGGTTTTAGTGAAAATTGAGAGTAACAGGTTCAATAATTGTGTAAAAGGAAGAAAAAAAATGTGAAAAAGAACAATTGTATGGACTGGATTCTGATCTGGAAGTGGATATGGCTTTAGACCTGGAGGGATCTTCCCAACTGTTAATTCCTGTGAGATTTCCAACTGGCCAGGTTTTCCAAGTGAGACACTAGATTTACTTGCACAAGGCACTCCTGAAGGAGTTGGGTGCTCATAAGGTACTAGACTGAATAATATCCGGTGTGATGGACCAAGAAGAGATGTCTGTCTTGATGCCATGGATTTCCTCTGCACTTTTCTGATGACTTAGAAGAGTGGAAGGGTTGCATACAACACAATAATATATTGCCCAATAAACTCGCACTGAATGTTTTTAATGAATGAATGGGATCAGTTCCTCTGATGGCAGTATTCTGTATTGCTCTAGTTTGCCAGTGTAAAACTGTAAGCTGAAATAGCTGACAAGATGGTGAAGATGGGCCTAGTTTGTATTAAAGTGGTGCATTGAGCTACCTAGGCTTGTTGAACTTTTATTTTTTCTGCTTTGGTGCTGGTTTGAATGGATGGGGACCTATTGCTCTTGATCTTTGCTTATATTCAACCTAGTCTTTGGCAGGAGAAATGGTTTATGAATTATGTTAAATCTGAGCTGCTCTCTTATTCTGTCAAGATGAAAGTGGTGTCTGTGACTTCAGCTTGCATATGATGTTGAAGGGTACCAAAAATTGTGTTTTAAGAGCTACGGATTTTCTCTTACTACTTATGGAAATATTTCTCCCAGGCTGTTTTGCTGAAAACTACTGTAGGTTTCATAGCAAATCCTTCTCGTTGTTCCAAAAAAGCAGCAGTTTGACTGCAGCCTGCATGAATGCCAAGACAACTGAGTTACTGAAGTGAGGATCTCGCAGTACCAAATCCATCTAAAACATCTTATGGGAGGTATGCCACAGTAAGCAGCCTCTGGCCTGATGCCTGGCTGCTTCTGTCCCTTTTGGTTGTGCTTCCCCTGCGTTTGTGCCTTGGGTATGATAGTTGCACTTTAGTTTTTAGCACAAGCAGTTTTTCCAAATCTGCACTGGCTTCTAATCAGGCTCTGAAAATCTCATTCTCTTTCAGACCCTGTTTGCTATGAGGTGTGGACCTGGGAAGGCATGTGCCTCTTCTCCGTGCTGCTTTATCAAGAAGCACCATGGAAGAAGCACCTTCCTGAGGCAATCAGGACATCACCTGGCTTGGGAAAACTTGTTGGGACAATTCTGACAATGAGGCTGCTTTCCAAACTGACATGAGCTTAACCAAGAACTTTATTGTAAACGTTTTCAGCTGGTATCCTACTAAAAGCCACTTACAATAGCAGTGAGATCACATGCCTTCTTATAATACTGCTAGAGAGAGGTTACATTAATAACCAAATTGCACATCACAGTTGTCAGTGTGTAATAGAGATCCAAAGGGTTAACATACCATGTTTTGAATAGTAAAGCATATTTTAGTATGTAAGAAGCAACAGTAGTGACTAGATGGGGTCATATTCTGGAAAGATTTACTCCTGCAATTGTGTAATGTTACTCCTGGTAGAAGGGCATGGTTCCTGAAAGTCTCCAAGAGTCAGCAATTTGTAGGTGGGTAGTGCACAGATAAAGAAGGGTTTAAGCGTGGAAGTGGCAAGATGAGAGAGAAGTATATGCACAGGAGTAAAGGCTTGCTGGATGCCCCCATCTGTCTGAAATGCCAAGCTGGGGCAGGGAGCCTGGTGCAGTCTTAGGCAGTCTGGGTCTGGGCACTGGTTGGGAAACAGGAGAAAATGTGAGGTGCAGTCATGGAGGCGAAGTGCGGGTCGTGGCTGCGGCAGGGCTGATTTTTGGCTTCACGCGTCTCCCTCTCTGGTCAGGAGAGAGAAGCTGCAACCTGCTCGATGAAGCTGGCCAAGTTGATGTCTCTCTCGGATAAACCTGTGCACTCGTGGGTGCTCAAGGTGATGTGAACCTAAACCAGACAGAAAGACAGAGTGCTGCTGGCAGACAGAACAGGAGCACGTTCCCCCACTGCTCAACTGATTGTGTCTGGTCAGGCAGGTAGCACTATTAGTTTCTCCAAACTGGTTAGCAAAATTTACTGGGATGGGAGAGGAGTTGAGGCATTCTGTCTCTTTTCTTTTTGCCTGGCCACAAGCAGTGACTGCTGCCATTGCATTGGTCATAGCAGCTAGCTGTGCCTGCCTTTCAACTCACTTTCTCCAGAAGCTTTTCCCCTTGCTGCTACTTCTGGTACTAACTTACAAAAAAAAACAACTCTGGTGCTAGTGCACCCATAGCTACTGCCCAGATAGGCAGAAAAAAGGGGGTAGGTGAAGGCTTGTGGGTCATAGCTATAGGCTGTCTGTGGTATGCCATGGGAGCAGCCTCCAAGTGAAGAAGTTCTGCTGATCTGACCAGGACTTGCTGCTCAGAGTGCTGTTTTATGCCTGACAAATGGGTTTGGCTCCCTGAAGAGCTCTGAGCATCCCTGCCATCCACGCTTCTTACCTTATTATACACATTGAACCATTCAGGGTGGTGATCCAGTTTTTCTGCTTGTAGAGCCACTCTGGTCATGAAGCCAAAGGCCTGCTCAGTGGAGTAAAAAGAAAAGTTAGTTCTGAACCGCTTATCTCATGCTATATTGCTTTTCACCCCTTCACTATCAATTTTACATCCTGTGTTTGCAGGGATCTAGGTAAAAGCAAGACGTGGGATGTTCGGTCTTGTTGGGCTTTTCTATGGGTCTTCTCCTTGGGGAACTTTTCCCAGACAAACTGCACTGGATTGAAGACTTTGGTGTCTTGGGTAGATTATCTTGCTCAGCCATTGTGTTTTAGGAAAAAGAGGGGTTTCTGTGGCTGAGCCATGCAGGTGGGACTCCCTGCTCTGTAAAATAGGTTTTCCAAGCTGTCAAACTTGGTATCACCGATGCTCATACCCGGTTGAAGTCCTTGAAGTGGAACTCTTTGAAGATGGCGTCTCTTCCTTCCACCTCGTTCCACCCCACGGCTCTCAGGTTTGGCAGCAGCTGCTCCCTCTCCTCTGCATTCAACCTGTGGGCTTTACCTGCCTGACACCGAGGAAGGGAAGAGAAGCAGATCAGCGTGGCAGTGGGAGGACAAAGCAGATACACAAAGAAATGAGGCAACCCATGGGTTGTGGAGTTGCAGGTCAAGGTGGTTGGGAGCCATGGAATGCATCTGCAGCCCTTGAACTGTGGGCTGCTGAGGATGGGGAGATCTCAGTGCTGCCCTCTGCTCCCCACCTTGGGTACCTTATGGCACACACCTAGGTCAAGTGAAGTCCAGTCTGTCTTTTGATCTGCACCACCTAACAAATAGAGCCTCCTGGGACACTTTACTGCTGTATGTATGTATTCATTATAGCCTGCAGTACTAAGAAATGATATCTGCGTGTGGTTAAGCTCCAAAATGCACATTTAATCTTCTGTCGGGGGGGGAAAAAACAACCTGTAATGACTTCCAGAACTGAGACCTGCTTGCTTTTCAAGTTTGTGAGGTACCCTCTGGAAGCAGGAGGATTATTCGCAGGGCAATTGTGCTGGAAACCTCCTCTAGAGGAGAAGAAAAGCGGTGTGAATCATAGGTGAGTCACATTTCATTGGAGTTCAGCTCCTTTTCAGCCTCCCTTATGTTATGATGGATTTTAAGAGGCTGTTTGTCTGCAAGTAACAAAGGGCAGAGGGAGGGATTGTGATTTAGTGTTGTCTTCCGCTCTCTGGCACAGCTGCTGTTATTTGGTCTTAAAGGGGGGGAAAGCTCCAGCTCTTGGCTTCAGCTTGTGCATATGGCAAAGATGAAACTGAACCAGGGAGTTCTTCAGGCTGTCTGCTAGCTCAGCTGGGAGGGCAGTGGTGAGTGGGGATGGGTGCTGCTCTATGGAAGATGCTGTTCTGGCAGTTGAATTCTTTCCTAATGGATGAGTATTGTTGATTCTCACTAGCAAAGACCAACATGTTTTTGTAATTAGTTTTCCTTTGTGCTTAAGGACAAAGTGTGGCAAGTTAGATGTTAGTCTCAACCAACACAGCCTGCTCGCTCTTTGGGTAGTTCTTTCTCTGAGGAGCAGCTTCTGAGTGTCTATGCCCAAGCAAAGAGTTCCACGGACTGCTGACCAGAGAAGGCAAATCATCCCGTCAACAAAGCATGGAAGGACAGCCGAAGAGCTGATGCTGCTTTTGCAGGCTCTTCCTTGGTGTTGTACTTAAGGAAGTCCGAGCCACCTGTGTGAGATGGATGCCACGCCTGCAACACTGTGATCTCCTCCTGCATTCGGGGACAGCTTTCCTCGCTGCAAGCCCCCGATGCTGCCCTTTGCTTTGTGCCACGTTATGGCTTTCACCCCCTCCACAGCTCCACCTTTCGAGGCGGCGAGCAAACACTGCTCAGTGCAATAAACCCTCGGCCCTGGCGGTGACGTGATAAGGCGGGTGGCTTAGCAACTGGGCAACGTGGGGCCGGGCACTGCTGCCGTCCCCATTCAGCAAGCTGCTTTGGTAGGCCACGTCCGTGCCTTCATGTGTTCGCTCTTTTAAAGCACATCGTTTGCACTGCGGGGAATGCGATTATTTCGTTTTCTTTCGCTGGCTCTCCACCATGGAGGCATTGCTGGGTTTTTGTTTATTTTTTTGCCCGCAGGACAGTGTTGTGCAAAGCAGACGAAGGACCTAAGCATGGGAAATGGGGAGAGCTCGCCTCTCAGGGCTCTCCGGCCACAAACCGACCCTCCTCGCCTTAACGGCATCGTCCCCGTGAGGGTGTTGTGCCATTCGCCTTAGGCAGAGGGGACCGCCCTGGCACGAGCAGACTGTGACGAGGCCCCTCGTGGGCTGTGCAGCCGGAGCAGCACGAGCGGGGGCCACGCGTGCAGGGCAGGATTTCGGCAGAGCCACGCTCGCCGTGCCGCAGCCTTTCCCTCCCCCAGCACTCCGGTAAGCCGGCGGCGGCCAGCAGAGCTGCCCGCGTTACTCATTAACCGCACCGCCCGGCTCCGCTCCTTCCTCCCTCTCCTCCCGCCTCTCTCCTCGAGCGCCGCAGCCGCCCCCTTAGCCCTCCTTCCCCGTCCTCGCCCTCGGAGCGGCGGCCGCCCTGCCCGCTGCCCACTTACCATGGCCCGCGGCTGTCCGTGGCCTCCGCGGCGATGCGGGCCGGGCGCTGTGCGGGCGGCGGGGCGGGCGGCGTGGCGGGGCCGCGGGAGGCGTGGCGAGGGGTCGGGTCCACCCACGGCGGCTGCTGCCCTCGGCCCCTCGCGTCTCCCTGGCCGGGGTTGGCGCTGGGGGCCCCTCGAGCTCCTGAGGGCCTCGGGGCCGTCGCTCTGCGGCGAGGATGCTGAGGCGCTGTGCAGGTTGCGTAGGGATGTGGTTGATGCCGGAGACTTCCAGAGTGAGGCTGGATCAGGCCGTGGGCGACCTGATTGAGCCGCGGTGTCCCTGTGCGTTGCAGGGGAGTTGGACTAGATGGCCAACAGAAGTCCCTTCCAACTCTAAGGACTCTACGTGCTCATGCACATCTTGCTTTCTGCTTTTAGAGTCCCTGAGTGCCACGCAGACAATTTGTTTCTCCAGCAGAAATGTTAGATGAAAGCACATCCTTCCTTTGTTGTCCGTCATAAACTTACTCGCTGTGTAATAAAAAGGAAAAATGAGCATCTATTCTGTGCTGTGCCTATGTGTGGGGAGAGGAGGCTTGGAAGGCAGCTCTGGGTAGATCAGTACAAGCTGGAGGTTTAGATGTGCAGTACAGGAGGAGGAGTGCTGTACAGCTTCCAGCAGTGAAATCAGGAGCTGGGATTGTCTGCAAGGTTGGAAAAGGCCAGCAGAATGTTCTCTTGGCATTGGTTTGGATTGCAGGACTGGCACATCGTGACCCTGTGAACAGTGGCATAGGCAGGTTAAGGAAGCAATGATGTAGCAAAGTGGAAAATCATGGATACACTAATTACGGTGTATCTACTGATTACCCAGCTCCTTTGTAATGCTACTTTCTCTCCTAGGGTATAGATCTGCCTTTAACTGCCAGCCTTGCACATCTTTCTGCCGGAGTGATCTCACATGCTGCTGATGAGAAGTGTCAACAGGGCAGTCGTGATTTTTCCTCTGTGTATGTGTGAAATTGGGGGTGGGCGATCCTTTGGCTGGCTGCATGAATTCTCCTCTGCACTGCTTTCCTTTCTCTCATTCAGATGGGACTCTAAATTTGCTGAATGATTAATCGAGCGCTGTTGGGCAAGGTGTTTGCTCAGAGTATTTTGCAGCCCTGTGGTGGGACTGTGCCTGTTATAGGGCAGAGATTTCTGCTCTTTTCCCCTCTCTTCTTGCCTAGTTTAGAGCTGTGCTTATTTTGAGGCTAGGTCAGTGTCAACTTAACTTGTGTGCATTGCTGTAACATACCCAGGGAGTTTCTGCACTCATGGAGGGAGATCTTACATCACTAATCTACATTTATAATTTTGTCTGTACTTTTTCAGCAAAATCCAGCTGGTTGTGGAAACTCCTTCAGCTGGCATCCTTGTCAAGATTTGCTTTTTGACTTTCCCAATGTTCACGTTGTCCAGTCCCCACACCTGCTGATGGACCTTTTTGGAGGAAGAGGGACACCAGCTCCCTCCTACCAGATGCAACATTGAATCTGTTTGCCGTCAAGTATAAGATGTGGAGATCATGGCCCTTGCTGCTTATAAAAGGGAAGCCCTGCTGTATCCCCAGGCTCTGACACAGTAACAAGTGTTTATTTTATTTGTTTTTAACAGTCTGTGCTGGCCCCCAGCTTAACAGCATTAAAGGCTGGCCTAGGTCATCTTCCAGCACGTGTGCTTTTTGGGCATCCCTCAGGAAGAGCTGAGCGTGAGGTTCATGTTAGCATTAGTGTGGTTCCAGTCACTGCTGAATTCACACTGATTTTTTTGCATCTTGGGCCCTCTCACCAGGCAAATAGGATTACCCAGCAATGAAAGCAGCGGCTTTGCTGTGGCTGTTAGGAAAGCTGCTGACCCAGCTCCGTGGTGTTTGCTGATTGCTCTGGGCAAGCAGGGTGCATTTTCAGGGCTGTGTATTTGTTTTAAATTGTACTTTGGAGGAAGGGTGGCCGTCCTCCAGCGCTGTGTGAGAGGTTTGTGCTGATGACTTTGAGGTCGCTCCTGTGATGAGGCTGAAACCTGTGTGTTGTGGGCAGGGAGGGATGGCTGCTTAGTCAGCAGGGCAACAATTAACTAGCTGCAGTGCTTCAGGAATGCAGTGGGAATGTTTTCAGAGCTTGCATCCATGTTAGCTGCACCTGAGTGAGTGACTTGGAGCGGGCTCTTGTCCCATGGTAGGGCTTAGACCTTGACGAGCACTATCCTTCCATCATCAACTGCTTGGCTGGTACAATTGGTTTAACTAGAGTTCCTTTAGCACTGGGGGGGATTTATGGTGATCGAGACAAGTTTAATTTGACAAAAGGGCCCAATAAAAAGAGATAAACTACTGATTATCCCTGTGTGAGCCTTCTGCTCATAGAGTTTTTCCCTTAAAGTGGAGTTTGCCACAGTGGAATGAAGAGGGTAAATCAGGGCTGCTACAGATAGAATCATGGGATCACTGAGGTGGGAAAAGACCTCTTGGATCACCAAGTCCAACTGTCAGCCCATCCCCACCTGCCCACTGACACACTGAGGCAGTTGTAGGGCACAATAAGGTCTCCTCTGAGCCTCTTCTTCTCCAGACTGGTCCATCCCAGCTCCCTCAGCTGCTTGCCATAAGAGTTGTGCTCCAATACTGCTTTGACTTTGATTCCTGTGACAGGATGTGTTTGCCCCGGGGGAAGGTAATACATCCAAATTACCTTCTTCCCAGCCCTTGCTTTGTCCAGCCTGGTGATGGATTGATCACATAACCTGACCTCTCTGGGCACAGCTGGAGACTACTGCAATGGGACTCAGCGTGCTTCCCGACTTCTGGTAAACGTGTGTGTTTCTTTGCTAAGCAGGTTGGATTTTCTGGCAAATCTCACAAGGGTTGCAGAGGGTGAGTATCTTGATGGATCTGGAAGCTTTTCTCTGTCTGAAAAAAGTGAGTGTTGCTCCTTGTTTACGCAGGGAGAGCTGGGTGCTGCATGTTAAGCAGCTGTGATACAGCCGCGTCTTGTCACTAGGGGTCAGAAAAATGCTGAGAAATGGGAGAGCTTCCCGGAATGCGCTGAATTTCAGTGAAGTGGAAAGGAATCTTCATTGCCAGACTGTCTTGTGAGAAGCACCCCTTGGTGCACCAGTCGAGATCGTTGCCAGTCCTGCAGCACGCTCTCCCATATAGCCCCAAAAGCACTGAGGATGCTTTTGGGGCCAGACTGATACAGCTCTTGGGCTACAGGTCTTAGCAGCCAGACTGCTACGTGTCTTAGGCTACCACTCCCATTCTCCTGTTCCTTGGTTTATTTCCAGCTTCCTAACCTGAGGCCTTACAGGTGGGGATAGGAGAGGGGCTGGCTGTGGTCTACACACACCTTTGGCTGGGCCAGCATGTAGGATTAGAATAGGCAGGCAAGCTATGAGTCATAGCAGTCCTTCCAGTCTGAAGGCAGGGTTCAAATCAAACGAACTGAAAACTGTTGCTCGGAGATTAGGGGGATATTTACCATGAGTGGCTGATTTAGAAGGAAAGAGTGGCTGCCATGTACAGAGAGGATGACCAGCAAGTGGAGAGAGAGAAGTGCTAAGGCGTTTATTTCCCTGGAGACAGTGTCAGGTGAGGCTGCTGGAGGGGACAGTGACTGACTCCAGGAGCTTTGCTCTGCAGTTGGATTGTGAGTTTTATTTCCCAGATCTCCTTTGATGAGGTTACTCTGCTATTCATATTACCATCTTTGTTCTTCCCCAACCTAATGAGTTTGTACTGATTCTTACAAACGGAATTCATCTGCTTTGCTTGTTCTTGCTGTCAGTGGGAACGACCATTGGACCATGCTGTTTGTTCAAAGCAGGATAAAAATTAATGGGAAAATGGTGTATGTAGCAATCTTATGAAAGCAAAATGCCACTGTGCTTCACCCATTGGGGTTAGGAAATTAAATAACTTAGCAGCTCGCTTCAAAGTCTGAGGATAAAGAGCTCCTGTGGCAAGCATGGCAAGGAGGGGAGAGATGAAATACTGCAAATTGTCGCTGATGCACAGACTGGGCAGAGAAGTTTGCTACAGTAAAATAGAGCTCTGTTTAATTCCAGCCATCTTTGCTCCCTCTCAAGGCAGCTGGGGGGAGAGAAGACTGCTTTATACTTAGAACACCTGTGTATTTGGGAATCCTCCTGGTGCTGCTGCAGTTCCGTGCTGCAGAGGCTGCGACTTAGTGTTGCTCTTTGTAGCAGGGGCACATAGCTTTCATCAAATTGTGCTGCAAAATTGTTGCCATATGAGCTGTGAACCAGAAGAATTGGGCTTTCATCGCTGTGCTTCTGGGTCATGTTTTGCATGCAGTTCATTGACAAAAATAACCAGCCAGCAGGGAGGAGCTGGTACTACAAGACAGTGAAAACCTTTTACCCATCTTGCAATTAAATTTCAGAGGCGACCTGAGATCTGCTCCGTGTTTAGTTTAAGATGGAGGAATACTGCGTTGCTTTTATTTTGCTTTCATTTATGCTGCTGGGGATTTAGCTCTGCTTAAGGGTGTGGAACTGCTTTTTCTTTTTACAGAGCCCCTTTTGTAGCTTTTGTAGCTTGGAGGAAACTTAAATGGGAGAACGAGCCAAGATCTTCTCCCCCTTTTCCCTGCGCCTGTATCTTTCCTGACAGTAAGCGCAGTGCAAAACGCAAGCAGCACCCATCTTATTTTCCAAATCGCTATTGCCTGTGATCAAATCTGCCGTGTCAACAGAAAGCATTGAGACCTCTGCTTTCTGCTGATGCAGAGCAGTCATTTGTGGCTCAGGCATCACAGAGGTGTTAGACACCGGAATTACGGCCGCTCTGTCAGATTGGCTGGATAATTTTTACTCCTAAGCCTTCCGCCAAGATGATTTTCAGTGCTTGGAAATTAGTCTTACTCCGCAGAGCTGTCAGTGTCTCCCAGCTGTGTCGGTATTTGCTCTAACAAATGTGTGTATGTATGATACAGCTATTCCATCATCATTCTCTGCACTCTTCCAGATACCTGGGAAGCTTATCTTAAGTGCAGCTCTTCTCTCCCAGGGGTCACTTTTGTTAATTCTTCTTTTGTTTGTTTTCCAGTAATGTAGAAAAGCCCTGGTACAAGTCAGTTTATTTTTTAATATATATATATATATTTTTTTCCCCAAGGCTCTGTAGACACATAAGGAGACAGATTTCCTTCTCTGAGTGGCTTATGCCTGTAATGGGTTATGGGGATGTTTTATTTATACAGCTAGGAAACTGAGACAAGGCAAAATCAAGCGCTCGGTGGTGTTGAAGACCCAATTTTCAGTGAAAAGTTTTATCCTCAATGAGTAGAGGGCAGAAAGGGTAAAAGGAGAAGACAGGCAGTAAATTCAGCTCCTGTCGTCTTATCCCAGGTGATTATCCTCATGGGAAAAAAAGTGGACAGGATGCTCTTTTAAGGTAGGTAAATAGCATGTAATCATCCTCATTTAGTAAGTTAC